AGCTGTAACAGGACAGTAAAGAGAGAACCAACTATGCTGATCATCTGAATGCTGTCTCCGTGTCATTCCTTCTTTGCAGACTCCGTCCACACCTTTGGGAACCCCTGGACCTGCTGGGGTTGGACCCCAACACTGGTGTGCTGAGAGTGTGGCCCCCACTGCTGACCTGTTTCGAGGGCACAAAGCCTGCCGTGCCACTACATCTGTTGTGTTCCTCATTATCGGGCAATGGTGTAAGGTTCCAGGAAAACTCAACTCTTGTCCTCAAAGAACTCAGAATCCAGCAGGAAAGCAGGACAGCAATGAGACACAAACCACCGCGGTGCTGGGCAGGTGGGAGCAGGCGCAGATGGCCCTCACTCACCGCCAGAAAAGAAAAAGTGAAGGTCCAGGGAGAAAAGCAAGGCCACTGGTATTTGGTTAGGCTGGTGCTTCGGGGAGGAGCATGGTGATGTCATAAAGCAGGTTGGAACCCAAATAAGAAGGGCCTTGCATACTAAGCACAAAGTTAGTAATGTTTTTGTAGGCAAAAGAAAAAGTATTCGATTTAATGAGAAAAATGACACAATTTGAATCATGAAAACCATTTTGGAAGGGGGGTGGGAAATGAGGAAAGAGAAGGAGAGGGTCTGAGTTGCGAGGGCTCATGAATGACAGATTGCGGAGGCTGACAAGTCACTCCATCTGGTGCCCAATTGGATGTTTGGGGCTGTGTGTTTCCACTTGGCCCAGAGTCTCACTTCTCCTGCTCCCTTTTCCCACCTCTGCCTTCTGCAAAATTAAATGATCCTGCTTGCCCATGGAGGACACCGAGAAGAGGAAAATCTCCAATTCCATCAACATCAACCACTGTGTATGCAGCCACACATTGCCCTCATGGTGTTGCCATAGCAATACCAGATGCTTCTGGCATGACGGTGGCACCTTGGAAAATTGACAATATATATTTTTTAATTTTTAGTTTAGTTTAGTTTTGATTTTTAATCTTCACCCAAGCACATGTTTTTATTTATTTTAGAGAGAGAGGAAGTGAGAGGGAGAGAGAAAAACATCAATATGAGAAACATCAATTGGTTGCCTCCCATTCCCACCCCAACCCGGTATTGAACCTGCAACACAGGTATGTGCCCTGCAACGGATGATGCAACCTTCCAACCAACTGAGCCACGCCGGCCTGGGCAAAACTTTTAGGGTTTTGTTTGTTTGTTTTTTAATTTTTTTTTATTAAGTTATTACATATGTGTTCTTATCCCCACATTACCCCCATCCCCCCACTCATGCCCTCACCCCCTGTTGTCTGTGTCCATTGATTAGGCCTATATGCTTGCATATAAGTCCT